AGGAGTTTGAGAACAGCCTGGCCAACACGGTGAAACCCCGTCTCTACTAAAAATACAAAAATTAGCCAGGTGTGGTGGCAGACGCCTGGAATCCCAACTACTTGGGAGACTGAGGCAGGGGAATCACTTGGACCCTGGAGGCAGAGGCTGCAGTGAGCCAAGATGGCGCCACTGAGCTCCAGCCGGGGCAACAGAGTGAGACCCTGTCTCAAAAAAAAAAAAAAAAAAAAGAGGAAAGTGCTCTTTTCATGTTACAATCAGTTGCAGTCCATGTGAGGGGGTCCCACAACCTGTTCCCAGAACTCTAGTGCAATGGCATTTATGGCAAACCTGTTTAAATTCTGGGTGAGACTGAGATCCAGTACGAGCCACATTATAGTACCAGGGCCACACTGCCTCCTGAACACTCAGGCCTGGCTGTGGAGCCCGCCTCCCCACACAGGACCACTTCCTCAGTGTGAGTTCTTCCCCAGCCTTTGTTGACCCTGTCTGCAAACTAACTTTTGTATATGACTGAGACAGACAGAGATTGTGGACTTAAGTCAATATGTGAAGCCTGTTGCCTATCGCCATGGGCCACCAGAAAAGCCTGGGCCAGATCCTGCCTCATCAAGAGACCCTGTTGACACTGGAGGCTCAGAGAAGTTACCCATTTGAGGCTGGGAGTCCTGCAAGTCATAAGTGGTGGGGTCAAGCTTTGAACTGAGATTTCTGGGGCTCTTTCCAGTCCACTGTCTTATTTTCTCCTCAAAGTGCAGCATAGACAACAATTTGGTAAATGGAGGCCTTCCTACTTGAGGCTTTGTTAGTGAACTGAGGTTTTTCTGGCCCGGCCTGGGATTCCGGAAGTACTGGGGACAATCGTTCATACTGCTACTGGTGATTTCATATTTAGATGATGCAGACCTCTTGTTTTTCTTTCTTCATAGTACCTTTTTCCTCCCAAGCACTTAATCACCCAAAAGATGGAAACATCAAGGGTAGCCCATTTTTATACAGTTCTGGAAAATGCTTGGGGCAGGTGGGAGGAAAGGTTGAAACGACTGGCAATGTGGTTTTATAGAAAGAGCGTGGGCATCAGAATCAGACAGTTCTGGGTTCAAATCTGGATTTGAGTAAACCTTCCTATTTGAGTAAACCTTCAGAAGTTAAAGGTCTTCATCTGCAAAACAGAGACAATACTATCTACCTCTCAGCGTTACATGAAAAACCTTATTTAAAATCATCAGTCTTGAAGAGGTCTCAATGAAACTTAGTGTCCCTCACTTTGGCTGATCCTTTTTAGAGTATATGAGAATTTTAGTTATCTATATTTTGCTATTCATTCCTCTTACAGACAACCCTCAAGTCAACTCAGAAGCAGGTCTCATTTCCATGGAGATGTATTTAAGGTAAACAAATGTGAAAAGGGGAAGCACAGACGCCCATCCCCTACACCCACTCACAGCCAATGCACCATCTCAGCAGAAATGTTTCCAAAGAAACGTTTCACAAAGCTTTCGGGGAAGGCCAAGGGCTCTTTCAAAGTCTTGACATGCTTTTTCGTTGTACGGCTCTTGAAATGAACAATAATTCGAAACAGATAATAATGAACTTCACACAGCAATGGATCAAAAGTGGAATTACTGAGCTCAGCATTGTCTAGTATAATTAGGCTGACATGCTGCTGAATCCAAATGGATGACTTTCCGCCCCCCACTTTTGCATGTGCACATTTATTTGCAGAAGAACTTTTAATGGGCAGAATATTACAAGATTTCTGGACCCCACATGGTTTCAGTTCTATCCAAACAGCTTACTTTCTTCTGAAATTCTGATTTTCCTTCCTCGCCTTCTTTTTTTTTTTTTTTTTTTTTTTTGGCATCACTATTTTATAAATTTCAAAGGAGAATTGCTTCCTTGAATGTACATGGAAATATAAGCACATAAATCACATGCTGAATTTACTTAACAAGGAGCAATAATCCCACTGTCACTTCCCACTGAACAATGCCTTTTTAGGAAAAAATGCTGCAAATCCTTTAGAAGTCCAAATTCAATGCATCCAATCAACTCACTTTTGAAATTCCACAAAATAATTTCTCTGTTTTAAATCGCTTATTAAATACAACAGCAATCAGATAGTAGATATTTCTTAATTAGACCTAGCTTTAGATCTGTCTTCAATCATGGCAGACAGCACACTAGGTAGTCACTTTATAGGGCCATAAACATTCATTTCAAAGTCTAATAATAGAGTGATTTCCTCTACTCTCCCTCTAACACAAGGGCCAATTTTTGGCGAATGAAAATCAGCCCATGTCTTACACAAGACATCTGTCCTCAAGATGTGACACCTAAAATGATGAAACAGAAATATGTCACCAAAGGCAACAACTTATAAAATTATGGCAAACAAAACTAGACAATCTTGTTGTTGCATTAACCACAAAAAGAAAGAGAAAGGGCATTTAATATAGCCTTTATTAGTCACTTTATTAGTCACTGGTACCTGTCTTGAATTTTCCAAAGGCTCTAACAGAAGAATTAACTTGGCCCACTTACAGAACCACACGCAGAAGATTCTGCACTATCAGGGATATACATAGTGGTAGCAAGAACGATTAGCAGAATGTCTAGATGTCCCTAAGCAGACGGGTTAATGCCGCCATCCTCAAGGTGGGCTCTGAGCCCCTAGCTAGAAGGATATAAGGAGCTCTAGTTAATACAGAGAGAAGGTCCAGGCCAATAATTACTAACATCGCTGGCCCCATCCATTCACATTAGATCCAGAGCAGAAAATGAAGTGGAACCTTAGAATCCTTCCCATTGTCATGCAAACAAATCGTTAGATGAGTTCTTAGAAGCGTTGAGCAGCCCCCAAACCATAGAATTGCCAACCTTGGAGGTGGAAAATTGTAGAAGAGGAAACTGCAGCTGAAGGTGGTGAAATGACTCGCCTAAGGTCACAGAGAAACCACACCACCCTTCACCACTTGTGACTTGAATGGAAATAGTCTTTTTCTGGCAAAAAAAAAAAAAAGAAAGAGTGAGTACACTATGTGTCAGCAAATGTTATGCCACATGCAGCTAGATCATTGCCCAACAAAGGAAATGTGGATTCACAGAACTAGCTTCCCACTTTGAACACTATTTTTCCTGTAATCGGGTAAGGCTGGGGGCAAATTCTGGTCAAATCCTACAAAGATAAAGGGGAGCTCCATGTTTATAGGTGCATGAACTGTAGGCCTAGTGAAGACTTCTCAATCATTTATCAATCCAGTATTGATTGGGGCATGCCCAACATGGGGCAGGTGTTTTGGAAAATACAGAAAAAGCATAAGACATAGTCTTTTCCCTTAAGAAAAATTTAAACAACATAGATGATTCTTAGAGATCAAGTACAAAGATTAGATATTGATGATGATCCCAAAAGGAGTTCAAAGATGGGAGAAATCACATGGTTTTTCACAAGTCAAGGATGGCTTGACTGACCTGAGATCTGTAGGGGACCTTGAAATCTGGGCTGTGTAGAAGGATAGGGTGTAGGGGAGAGAAAACCTGGGAATATCTAAGCAAGAACAAAATTTCTGAGATTGGAATTAATATGGCCCCAGAAAGTCCAGTCAAGGCACTTAAGTGGCTTAGAAGTTGATTTTAAGGACACGATGAAAAACAACACTGAACCCCGAGGGAAAGGCATAACAAGTGACTCACCAAATCATTTGGCCAAAGCAACATCAAACAGAGCTCAAGAGTCAGACCCATTTCCTTGGAAACTCGTCTCTCTGGTATGCTAAGAAAAATTAAATTTGCAATTTTTAAATGTACATATGCCAGAATCATCAAAATGTCATGGATTCTCCTTCATATCATGACTAATATCCTCACCTCTGTACAAAATATAAAGTTGGCCTGAGCCGTAAGAGGAAGGGTTGCCCCCTTCTACCACCGCTCCCCAAGAGGAAACTGACTAAATAGTTTTGGAAGCCATTGCTAGACCCACAAGGCCCTAATTCAACAAAATAAGGTATTGCCAAAGCTATTAAATATGAAACAAACTATCCGAATACCTTTCTATGCTTTTGAACATCCCTTCTCTTTGACCTTAGACACACTCTTAAATTTCTCAACTCCTTCCATCTGAAGGCCTGCCCGCATGTGGCCTTTCTAATTTATAGGGGCAGGGGATAAACGAGAAGCTGAGGAATTACAGAGCCACCTAAATGGTGGGCTGCTTCAAGGTTAAAACATGGCATGCCCAAACGCTTGCTGTACGCAAGGCTATTTATAATAGTTCTGATTTTAAACTTGGATTTATAATGAAGTTCAAGGCAGAAAGAGCAAAATTCCATACTGAAGAAAAATTACAGCTGGAAAAATCATTTGAAAATAAAAATAAAAAAAAAAAAAGAACAAGAAAACCTTCCAAGTAGTTACTCAATTTGGGAATTTGAAGAAGATGGCAGTTTGTGTCCAAGAAGAAACTACTTTTGGGGAAATGGAAGAATGGAAAGTCTTGCCTTCAGCCTATTTTTGTAGCCCTGCCTCCAGCCATGCACATAACTGAGTCAAGGAAAGGCATTCCTCCCCACAGCTTCCAAAAAGGCACATGTGAACAGAGGCCCCTGGTCACACTATGGTGAGCCAAGCACAAAAGCTTCAGGCGGTGAAGGGCAATGGGAGGGGAGATGTTAACTTGCCTCTGGCCTTTGGCGCCCAGCAAACCTGTGCCCTGCCTGTCTGTCCAGTCTGCTTATACCTCTCCAATCCGTGTTCAAGCATCTAGCTCCAGGTCACTCAGGAATTGTGTGTGTTGGAGGAGGTGGGACAAGGCGATGTGATGGATAGAAACTCTCTTCCCCTTCCCCTCTTACTTTGTCTTAAGTGGGAAGGAGTTTGGGGCTCACGGGGAATCGTTGCTCAGCATGCTTGCTTGTGCTCTGGAGGCTGAAGCATTAAACTATAGGATGGTGGGTGGTATCTATCCATGTAACCACTTCTTACCTCTCCAGCAGATGATCCTCTAGAGCACAGCACTCATTTGCTTTGAGCAGACTCAACTTCAGAATCCTTCTCAATCCAACAGTCCAGGCTGCCATCACCCATCAGAATGGGCAAGTGGTTTGCAACTCATTTGCCAAGGTAGAGAAAAGGAGAGCAGGAAGAAAGAGGAAGGTAACATTTTCTGAGCACCAACCATATGCCAAATAGTGGCATGTCAAGCAGGTGAGGAAGTCAGCCTCGACGGGGAGGGGGCAGGTTATCAACGGCATTGCATAGTGAATATAAAATGACTTGGATCATGTTTACACTGGGTTCCAATACTCCATGGACAAGGCACCCTCATTGCCACTCCCACTGTCCGGTCCGCCCTCCTCACTGCACCACCAGGACCAAGAACTGCTCATGGCCCTTTCACAGGGCTTGCCTTTCCCAACAGCCTGGCGGTGTGGCAAGGACTTGGAACCATCCCTCTTATATTGTTAAACCCCCTGTTGAGGTCAGACTGTGCCTCAGTTTCCTCACTTGTAAAGTGAAGACAACAAAGCTGTACCTTTCCTAGAGGGCTGTAGTGAGGGCTAGTGCTTCTGCAATTGTGAGAGGGCACAGAATCTGGCATATAGGAAGAACTGTTAAATGCCAGATTTTCCCTTAAGTTACTGGCTGAACTGGGCTGCCCCTACCCTGAGTTTTAAGATCATTAGAGTAATAATAAAAATCAGTTGTAATATACCACATAGGATTGTCTGGTTTAGAAAAACAAACAGGATACTCAGTCAAATCTGAATTTCAGGTAAGAAATGAATAATTTTTTAGTGTGAGTATTTCCCAAACATTGCATGGAAAATAGTTATACTAAAAATTTATTTATTTTTAATCTGAAATTCAAGTTTAACTGAGTGTCCTATATTTTATCTGGCAACACTAACATCAAATCTTAAGATGTGTGGAATAAATAAAGGCACAACTCTTTGGGAATAAAAATGTCACACTGAAAGAAATGTTTCTCCAAATTGATGATTTTCAAACTTTTTCCAGCCACATTCCACAGCAAGAAATACGTTTTGCATCACAGTGCAATACACACAAATGTGTATTAACTGAAATCAACATTTTACAAAACCTTTTTTGTGTACGGTATATTTTGATATTTTGTCTCCTTCATTCTCCTTTATCTTATTCTTTTTTTAAAAAATTCTTCATCCAGTATCACTTAACTGATTTCATGACCTCCTTAATTGAGGGGTCAGCAAATTATGGCCCAAGGCTAAATCTAACTAACCACCTCTTTTTGTAAGGCTTGTAAGCTAAAAACGTTTTTTACATTTTTGGCCAGGCGCAGTGGCTCACACTTGCAATCCCAGCACTTTGGGAGGCCAAGGTGGGCGGATTGCTTGAAACCAGGAGTTCGAGACCAGCCTGGCCAACATGGCGAAACTCTGTCTCTATAAAAAAGAGAAAAATTAGCTGGGCATGGTGGCGCATGCCTATAGTCCCAGCTACTCTGTAAGCTGAGGCAGGAGTTGCTTGAACCCAGGAGGCAGAGGTTGCAGTGAACTGAGATCATACCACTGCACTCCAGCCTGGGCAACAGAGACTCTGTCTCAAAAAATAAAATAAAAAAGATAAGATAAAATTTAAAATGATAAGATAAAATAAAAAAAAATTTCTATGTTTTTAAGAGGTTGGAAGAAATCAAAAGGGGAATGATATCTCATGACTGGTGAAAATTATATGAAATTTACATTTTAGTATTCATAAATAGTTTAATTACAAGACAGACACACTCATTTGTTTACCCATTGTCTTTGATCATTTTCGCACTACAGTGGCAGAGTTGAGCAGTTGCGAGTTGAGAGTTGCATGTTGAGTGCAGCCCACAAAACCTAAAATATTTACAATGTGTGCCTTTACTGAAAAAAAGTTGCCTACCCCTACCCTAAAGGGTTGCAATTTGCAGTTCGAAATGCTCTGCTCTAAATGGTTTTGCACCGAAAGGATTCATTTCTATTCACGTGAGTGAGCAGTGTTTTTAACAATGTCAGGTTAACCTTACTCTTCTCATTTCCCCATAAGATAAAGACAAATGAACAACCACCAGACCAGCAAACTTATCTGAATCCAGCTGCCCTTAGAGTATGGCTGAGGCTTGGTTGAAGCCCAGAACTTAGCAAGAGTTAGAAGACGTCATGGGACCGTATTCCCAGTCACTCCAGGTATCCACTACTCACTGGGAAGGGAGGGATTATGAAGAACACAGAACAAATGTCAAGTTCTTGACTTTGAACCATTTAGGCTCTTGACTCTTATTACAGAGATTGGGGCCTCCGTAAGCAAGGTTTGCAGTAGAAAAGTGTGATCAAATCTGAAGGCTAAGCCCCATGTAAGCATGACATAAAGTTTATACTACAAACAAGAGAATGGAAAGAGAGGAAAGGATGATTATTCTAGCTAGGGAAAGAGGAGAGGTGAAGAAGAAGATGCTGACACAACCCTGAGGGATCCTGCACTTAGCCTGCTCCCTCTTCTTGTGATTTTCTGAAGTGGGGTAGCCGGTGATAAATCATCAAGATAGGTTTAGTAATGCCAAGACCTGAGAATGTGTGCCCTGATCTGTGGGAGATGCCTGGAGTTAGGGGAGAACTGCACAGATACATGTCGAGATCATCAAGGGCCCCGAGGGCCAAATGCAGCATGCTACTTCCTTTTGTAAGTCAAGTTTTATTGGAACACAGCCACGCCTGTTTATTTACATATTGACTGTGGCTGCCTTTGTGCTACAGTGACAGAGTGGAGTATTCATCTAAAATACGTACTATCTGGCCCTTTACAGGGCATAGTTTGCCACCCCCTGCATCATATGCTGGCCATAGTGGAGAAGACAGCGCAACAGAGCAAAGCAGCAGGGAGGCCCCAGGAAAGCCCCCAATCCCTCATAGCCAGGCCCATGTAAGAAAGCATCTGAAAGTTTCCCTTGCTCCTGTCTCCAAAATGGGCATAAAATGGCCAAAAGAGGGCCACAGACCTGAGCAGAGCTTGAGGTTGGGACAAGAAGGATATATTGGAGATGGAGGGCTCTCTAACAAAGAGGCCTTGGCAGCCTCCAAGTATGGCCCCACAGTGCCACTACACATAGGTGCCGATGGCCAAAGACCAGGTCTGCTTCAGGCTAAGGATGCCGTGGACCACACCACCCCATCCCTCTCTCAGTCCCCCAGAACCCCGTTTTCCACCTACACCATCCTATATTTCCAGGATCTTACCAGCAACCCCAAGAAGAAGGGAAGGGAATGAAATTTTGAATTGAGTGACTGAAACTGGCATGACTGAATAAACACCGAAGTGAGTGATTTTTACCAGGAAGACACTATATATTAAGTTTCCTGCCACTAGAAAAATGTAGACTTAAACTAGAAATTAGGTTATAGAAAAATGAAGAGGTTTACATTCTACATAGCCGATAGGAAGAACAGGAAACTGACTTTGTCGCTTCAGGAAATTGGAACTTCATTCACAGCAGTTCTGAGACCACAGAAGTTGAAGTCCTTATGGCTCATGACTCAGTGACTCCATACCTACTCATTTTTCTACGGACTTCTTTCTAGAATAACACTGTTTAAAGCAGTCCAAATCTCCCGGAGATTTTTCCCATTCTACCTGCAACTCCATAGAAGGAATCCTGTACAAGTCTAAATTTTCACCAGTAGGTGGTGCTAACACAGACACTGCCCTATACTTATCTGAGAATGAATTAGCCAGACACTAATTGAAACTCTGCATTAGCACTTTTCTCTACAGCGCCTTCCCTTTGGTCTAATTGAACTTTGTTATTAAGCAGTCCCAGAGTGGTTTCACCTCAGGGCTAACACTCTGTCTCTGGAGTGGTATAATAGAAAGAATTCCAGCATTAGGAAACATGGGGTATGGATTTTGGCTGTCTTACTAACCAGATGAATTGGCCAAGTCACTTAATCTCTCTCAGTCTTAGGATCTTCATTTTTAAAATAAGTGAGTTGGGTTTGTTGGATGCTTGTTTTCCAGGTTTGAGAAACAATTCTACAACCACTCTTCTCCCATCAAGCTAATACACTTTGAGAAAAACTCAAGATTCCAAGAAATAGGCTCTTGGACACAATTCTGTGGGGGAGGTAAGAAGTCTGTGGCACAGACTTTCTGTCAGGCAATTTGGCAATGTATAGCAGCAGTCCTAAAAATATATGTACCTCTTGACCACGAATTCCATATCTGGGAATTCATCTCAAATAAATAATTACAGGCATGTGCAAATATGGAGCCAAGGGAACACTCTATAATGCAGTGCTTGTTGGCTTTGTTGAGAGCTCAGTGTATCTTTGCTAACCAGATTCTGAACTTCAGATAATCTTTAGAACTGTATTATCATCCTTGTATAAGGCAACAAAGCAAACTATTGCTTAATCACACAATGAAAGGAAGAAGTAGTGGACATATTTTGTGTGCCACACACCAAGCCAGACACTTTTCTTAAGTTATTTCTTTAAATATTCTTACAATAACCCTATGGCACAAAGGGATTATTAATTCTATTTTATACCTAGCAAGTCCAATGCTTAGACCAGTTAACCTTCTTCATCAAAGTCACCCAGTGCTGATTACCGGGAGAAGAACTGCATCTTCTACTTTACAAAGATCGAGTTCTCTGAGGGCTTAGGGAAAACTTTCCCTCTGATGGAAGTAAGAGGAGGGAAATTCAGGATGCGAACTTCGATTCTGCCTGAGAATTGGACCTGGGCTCTTGGGCGTCTTTGGGGAAGAACTGCAATTTCAAAGCTTCTGCCAATTCTTTGTGCTGCTAAAAATGGAAACCCAAATTAGTCTGTGGGGGCCAAGGCTTTCTGGTGGAGAAAAAGTGCTTAAATGAGCTTTTATCTGTGCAAAAGGAATGGAAAGCCTAGACAAGGAAACACTCAAGCTCTGTGTCTACCAAAATAAAAGAGTGAGGATTGTTCCGATGTTAATGCATTTGGGGCTTTCTCTGGTAGACAGAGGGAAGGGGCTGTGGGGGCTTGGCATTCAGGGAAAGAGAAACACAGTCAATGCAAACCCCTATGTGGAGGTGAAGACAGGGTAGGAGCACACCCCACAACGTGCTGGGAGCCTGAAGGTGAAGGAAGACCAGTAGGAATTGGGTGGGATGAGATTTGGCCCAAGGACTCGGGGTGTGGTTGGTCATGGCTGACACTGAGCTTAATTTTTCCCTCTCTGCACTGAAATTCCTTCAAGCTTTCAGTTGAGCCAGAAAGCCTCATGTGAGCGTTGTCTTGGGGTGAAGGGAGGCACTGAATCCATTGGATCAGGGACACACATTCAGGTGGAGAAACAGTAAGTGAATACCAAGACTATGTCTATATTCCTTGGAAGAATCCTGGGCTTCCTGAAGCCTCCTGGTTTGGAAGCTGGAGCTCTTTTATTTGCATATATATATATATATATATTTTTTTTTTTTAAGGATGGTCTTGGAAGGTTGTCATAAACTCAGGAACACAGGAGTTCTGTCTAATTGTTGTATTTCAGGGACTGAGACTTAAGATGGTCTGCAGGACAGCTGAAACCATGGAGAAGGATGCTTCTTAACAGGGTTCACCTGTTCTGAGGACTCTGCGACCACAAGCACTTGGCTGCCGTCAGCAGGCTAGGTGATTACAGCATTAGATCATGCCTCTAATGGGAAAAAGGCTTCTCCTCTCTGGCTGACTAATCAGCTTGCCATTTTTATTGCATGATCAGTATCAAGAGGCAATGATTTCTGTCAGCTCCCCGGGTGCACACTAGCATGACAGAAAGAACAGCTATATTAGCAAAGAAAACAGGTGGAGGGATTAGCAAACTTGCTTAAAAGGTCAAGACAGCTTGGTCCCTTATGGCACAGCAACAGGAAGGCTGAAGGGGCCCCTTTCTTAGAACAAGAATAGCTGCTAGTACAAAACTCCCGTACAAGGAGTCCTCTCTAGTCATCTTGCTGTTTTCCTTTTTCTTATTATTATTTTAAAGTCCAAAGTATTTCATGCTCATTGTCAATCTGTAGCAGTTCCCTAGGGCTGACGTGACAAATTACTACAAACTTGGTTTCTTAAAACAGCAGGAAATTATTCTCTCATGGCCCTGGAGGCAAAAAGTCTGGAATCAAGGTGTGGGCTACGCTTCCACTGGAGGCTCTAGGGGAGAATCCTTCCTTACCTCTTCCAGCCTCTGGTGGCTCCAGGCAATCTTTGGCATTCCTTGGCTTGTGTCTGCATCACTCCAGTCTTTGCCTCCGTCTTCACACGACCCCCTCTTCTCCCTAAGTGTTCCTCCTCTGTGTTTCTCACATAAGGACACTTGCTGTTGGACCTAGGGCCCACCTGGATCTGCCATGGTGACCTCATTTTGAGATCCTTAGCGTAATTACATCTGCAAAGACTCACTTTCAAATAAAGTCTCATCCACGGGTTCGAGGAAGATATGAATTTCGAGAGGTCAATATTCAACCCAGTGCTTGGGGATGTCCTTTTGTGTCAAAGTGCTTTCAAAGCTCTTGAAAACTCATGTTCAAAGTGTCAAGTGCAAAGGGCCGATCTGTGAGGAGCAGTGCCAATGTATCCATAGCTGACTGAAGGTGGACAATGGGCAGTGCTGGGGCCAGGACACCTCCGGATCAGTGCTCCCTCCCCACTCAGCTCACACCAATCACCAAGTGCTGTGTGTGGTCCCATCACACCATCACAACCTCTTCTCCAAAGTCCAGGCCACCAAATTCCTCACCTGAGCAACAGCAACATCCTCTGGAAGGAATTTCTTCATCTCTTGTCTTGCTGGCCTCCAATACATTCTCTAACTGTCAGCCCATGTGTCCTTTCTAGGTTAAAATTAAAATTATGCAAAGCTTGCTCATTGCCTTTGGACTGTGGTCCAAGCCTCTTGGCAGGGCACTCCAGGTCCTCTGAGACCAGCTCCTTGCTTCCCAAGGCAGTCTCAGCTCCCTGCCACACCTCTGGCAGCCTAAGCCCCAGGCGTTCTTGCCACTGAAGAACTGAGCAAGTCCACAAACACCTCCCTGCCTTTACATCCTCTGCTCCTCCTGTCTGAAAATCTTCTTTTCCTTATTCACCTGGTCTCTTGGGGTGAATAGTGACCCAAAAAAGATATGCCCTAACTTCCAGAACCAGAGAATGTGATCTTATTTGGAGAAAGGGTTTTGCAGATGTAAACAACTTAAAGATCCCAAGATGAGATCATCCTGGATTACCTGAGGGGGCCCCCAATTCCACGACAGTTGTCTTTATAAGAGAAAGGCAGAGGGAGATTTGACACAGAGCAGACAGTCCTGTGAAGACAGAGGCAGAGATTGGAGCCATGCAGTGCAACCTGAAACCAAAACTTGCCCGGAGTCACTGGAAGCTGGAAGAGGCAATGAAGGATTCTCTCCTAGAGCCCCCAGAGGGAGCATGGGCCTGCCAACCCTTTATTTTGGACTTCTGACCTCCAGAACTATAAGAGAATAAATTTTTGTTGTTTTAAGCCACCTAGTATGTGGCAATTTGTTAAGCAACCCTAGGAAACTAAGAGGCATGGATAATCCCAGGATCCCATGGAAGGTTGTGCAGGTTGCTAACTTCTCAAGGGCACTACAGGATGAGGAGAGACTAAATACAGCTCGCGCTGGGCCTGCCAACCTGCGTGCCCTGCAGGAGATGGCTCCTGGCCAGAAGGGGCACCTCTGTCTTGTTTACAGCTGGCCAGCACCAGCTCCCATTCTTGGGTTTTCTTCAACTCTCTGTTCCTGGGTTGCCCGTCCAGGAAGCCTTTCTTGAGTCACACTTCTCCCCAGGACTAGTCTGGACCCTTCATCTGCTCTAGCAGATATATTTATCCTGCTGTAACACAATTGTCGGTTCGCTTTTCTGTACCCTCCTCCATATCTCAGAAGCAAGGGCTGCTCTTAGTCTCCTCTTTCCGCTGTGCCTAGCACATCATAGGTGCTCAAAAGAGACCGGTTGAACGAATGAGCAGGAGCCAGCCCTGGAGCCTCCGTGAGCCTGCGGCAGCGAGAGGCACAGTGAGCGGGAGCACGGATGGGATGCCTGTCCCAAGGGGCTACTGAATCAAGGCAATGTCATGCTCGTCACAATTTGCCTAAACTAGCCATCAAACAGAACGGAAAAATGGCTCTAATAGGGAGCATCACCAGGACATTAACATTTTGCAGATGTGGTATCTGATCTTGTGCCTTTATCTTTTCCCTAACTGAGGCATCGGTGCCTAAGGATATTTCCACTTGGGCCAAACACATGCTCACACATCCAATGGGACCCAACGTTCTGCATTCCACGCAGATACACACATGAGCTCATGCAAGTCCCAGGGTGCTCATCTGGTCCAGATTTGAAGGAAACTATTTAGCTAGATGGAGAAAAACACATCATGTACAACTTAATACCAAACAGATTTTATGACACACTGAAAATGCTTTTGATAATCTACTAGTATATCAGAAGGGCTAATGAACTAAAAAAGAACCAGCTAATATCATATCTTTGAGGTCTGGACAATGTTTATGTGGATTGCAGAGATGACAGAAAATACAAAAAGATGCAGAGAGCTTTAGGGAAATTTATCCAAAGGCTCCCCCACCCCCTACTGAGAAGCAGTCCTGTTTATTGTAGCAAGAAATGTATTTTGCCAATTTGTGAACATAGACAATTATTTTCTGGCTAAAAGTCAGGGTGGACTTTTCCAGAGATGCAGAAGGGCTATTACTTGGCCACTAAGATCCCTGGTGGGCACAGGCAGCCATGGATGCTACTAGGGAAATAATCGGTGCATGACAGTTTCACTTGGGACTATCTCAACCCATTGGTGGTTTCCTTGGCAGTGTGGGGAGCCCCTCCATTAACTGTCACTTGACCACAACAGCATTCCTAAGTGATTCCTAAGACTTCATGAAGTCTCTCTTGATAAATGTTTTAAATTAAAACCCACATCTGTGCTTGTCCTGGCACCATCTGGGGTTATAAGAGGCAGCACAACATACTGAGACAAGAATGACTTTGAAATTGCAGTTCAATTACTTGATGATGTGAGCTTTCACAAAACTGCTTAATTACTCTGGCCTCAGTTTCCTCATTGAAAAATGGAGAACAAAATGATGACAGTCTCGCTCTGTCATCGAGGATGGAGTACATCCTGAAGTATAGTGGTGTGATCTCAGCTCACTGCAACCTCTGTCTCCCGGGCTCAAATGGTTCTCATGCCTCAGCCTCCCGAGTAGCTGGGATTACAGGCATGCACCACCACACCTGGCTAATTTTTCTGTATTTTTAGTAGAGATGGGGTTTTTGCCATGTTGGCCAGGCTGGTCTTGAACTCTTGGCCTCAAGTGATCTGCCCACCTCGGCCTCATAAAGTGCTGGAATTACAGGCGTGAGCCACCGCACCTGGCCTTGCTTAACTTTTCTTAATGCAGGATGCTCAACAGGGGCAAGTGTGAGCAAGGATTGTGGTACTATGCCCAGAGACAGGGGATGTGGGATGGCATTTGGAAATTTGTGGAAGTCTATCTGACTGTTGCAATACCTGGGGAGAGGAGCGTTATTGGTCCTGAGAGGGAGCCAGAAAGCCCCAACTTATAGCACCCTCACTGAGAAGCACTGCATTAAAGTAATCCCAGGCTGCTCCTGGCTGAATCTGAATGAAACCCTCTGATTCTACGTGATGAAGAGAAGGCGCATTACTGCTTGTGTTTGCTTTTGTTTTGATATAGGTTATCGTTGTAGGGAAGTGTTTTAATCTTATTATATTGTATGTTTTAAATAACCAAATCATTTTGTTGGCATTGTATAAAGAGACATATTTTCTAAAGTACCAAGAAAAAGGAGCAGGCCATTTAGCCTGATGGCATCCTTTCAGATGCTGCGCTCCTATGAGGAGCTCCAGGAGCCAGTCTTCTCCTTTTGGG